GGAAACCTGAAAGCACGAGGACCTGCCATCTTGTTTACTGTTGTATTCCTGATGCGCAGCTCAGTGTCTCTATGTAAAAAATGAGTGAATGTATTTTCTAGCTGGTGACTACAAAATAATCTGCAATGTATCCATATTGGTTTATTAATGGTAACAAATGAACCGTACTAATATGAGGTAATAGGGGAAACTGGATATGGAGTGTATGGGAATTCTATCTTTACTATTTCTGGAGACCTAAAACTACTCTAAAATAGAAGGTTTATTTTTTGAAAGCGCTCTGCTCATTGCATGTATAAATCTTGTCTGAAAAGTGAACCCTGGCCTCAAGCCACTTTGAGTATTTCTCTTCTACCAGTTAATTATCTTACCATTGCCTCTCAGTGATATTAAGAGAAAACTCACCCTTAACATTTTTCATTATTTTTTAGGGTCAAAATGAGCCTGTTTGGAACAACCTCAGGTTTTGGAACCAGTGGGACCAGCATGTTTGGCAGCGCAACCACAGATAATCACAACCCTATGAAGGTACCACGAAAAGCTTCCTGGGGCTTGTAGGAAGAGTTTGGCCAGAGTTTCTCCCATCAAGGACAGAACCTGAGATGACTTGGGAGCCTCCTTTGGGCCAAAAGCTTTGAAACTTTGTCTAACTCATCTTTCTCAAACACTGGAGCACAGAAAATGTGTCCCCTCTACTAGTGTCCTGTTCTTCCTGGCCTGCCAGGTCTCCAGAATCACCGAAGGTGCAGATTCCAGTGCAGATTCCCAGGGCCTGGCCCAGGACTGTTGACTCAGAATTCCCATGGTTGGGGAGAAGGGAGGGCAGGTGAAAACTATGATCTAGCACTGTGGGGCCAGAGTGAACTGGTCATTTAGAAAACGAGGCCATGGGCATTTCATCAGCAGCTGCTGCTGCTAGTCCTGGTGGTGCTGGTGCTTTCTCCAGCTTATTTTTTACTCCTCTTTTTGATCATAGTAAGGAAAGGTCTAATTCAGTTAGTTCTTGAGCACAAGGGAAGGCCACCGTGAGGTAATTAGTGAGAAAGAAAACCATTTTGAATTAAGTTGTGAGTATGCGTACATTTTAACATTGACTTTTTTCCCCTAGGATATTGAAGTAACATCATCTCCTGATGATAGCATTGGTTGTCTGTCTTTTAGCCCACCAACGTTGCCGGGGAACTTTCTTATTGCAGGATCATGGGCTAATGATGTAAGTGCTCCTTAAATACGTGTTCTAGAAATCATCTCTCTTTGTATGGGCAAGGTTAGCTTTAGCTCCGTTGTTTCCCAAGTAAATGAATCAGTTAGACTTATTTATGGCGTTTTTTTAAGAAATCAATTTGGGGGTGTGAACCCTTCTGAATGGCAGACATTATTTGTTCTTACACTGGTTTTTATTAGGAAAGCACAAAAATGTATTGCTCGAAATTTTCTACTGTAGTTCAATCTCTTAAAGTTTATTCCTAAATAAAATGTCATATTTATCCAGAGTGAACTTTATACCCAGTGGCACACACCAACAAATTCCCCTTCTTGGCATCCTGACAGTGTTCCTCAGGCATATGTTAAACTTTTTCAACATTAAATAATAGCACAGATCTGCCTAAATACATACTTATCGTGTACAAAAAGAAAGACAAAAAAATTACAATTTACTAAAAGAAAGAAAACTCTGGTAGAAAAATAAGCAAAGGGCGTAAAGAGGGGCTTCACAAAAGTAAGAATAAACCTGAACCATTCATCCATACTTGTAGTCAGAAAAATGCAAATTTAAGACTCTTTTTTTCTATTAAGTTAACAAAATTAAAAGTTTAAAAGAATAATAGTGCCAGCAAGGACAAGCTGAAACCCTACATGTACGACTGGTAGGTATGTAAGTTGGCAGAGCTTTTCCACAGGATAATTGGCAATAGTTACCAAAAATCCTTAAGCTTATACCCTTTATCTCATTGATACCCTTCTGGGACTTGAGTAGGAAACCTGATAATGTGCTTCATTTGCGTTGTCTAAATTAACCTTTGTAACAGCCAAAGCACTGTGAACTTGGTCTCTATTTTATGGATCAGGATGCTGAGCTTAGGGAAGTAGAATAACTGGCCTCGGGTTGCGTATCTGAGTAAGTGGCAAAGCCAGAGGTTGCAGACGCACAGTAAGGCTCAGGGCCACGCTTCTAGTTAGCCAGTGCCTGGTACTGCCTCTCAAAAAACCATGATGCTAGTGAAAATTTTGAAAATGTTAATATCCAATAGTAATGGCACTTTATGGTGTGTTTGTATGATGGAATACCATTGTAAGTTTTTGGGAAAGTTTTCAAACTGTAGCCTACAGCACGGGCAGCAGGGATTAGGAGAACAGGAGGAAAGATGGTAGTCAAGGTTGAGCAAGCTTGCGTTCTACATGTAATTTCTAGAAAGATTTCAGATGATTTGCTGCTTCAAAAAAAGGATGTTTAAAGTTGAACAGGCTGGTGATGCAGGAGAAAAGCTGTAGCTGCAAAAGCAAAGATGCTGTGTGATCTAGTGTCTTCCAGAAAATACGTGTACATGGGAAGAAGACTAAGAGCACACAGAACCATTAGCTGTGGTTGTGTGTGGTGTGATTAGGGTGATTTTTATTTTTTTGCCATATTTACAAAATCTCTAAAATGTATTACTTTTTTTAACGGAGGGGAGATTATATAAAAAAGTATTCAGAAAAGAGGTAAGTTTCTACTTTGGTCTTACCATTCAGAGAATGGTAATGGGTAAGTGATATTCTACTTTAGAAGACATGTCTCATAGATGCAGTGAGAAAATTATCTGCAATTTTATGTGTAAGCAATAGAATTTGTTTATTTTAATAGCTTAGGCATAAGAAAACAGTTGTTTTCACAGATATTTTAATTCCTTTGTTCTTGAAGTTAGATAATTAGGTTGCTATGAGAAGTCTATGTATGGTTAAGGTGTACCCCATTAGTTTTTAGGTGTTAAATGCAAGCAATATGTTGTAAATTGCTTTGTTTGCGTTGAATTTTTTTGTTACTACAGGTTCGCTGCTGGGAAGTTCAAGACAGTGGACAGACCATTCCAAAAGCCCAGCAGATGCACACTGGGCCTGTGCTGGATGTCTGCTGGAGTGATGTACGTTCCTTTCCGTTTCTCATGTACCCTTTTACTTAAAGTACAGAATAACTGAGAATATTTCATAATCCAAACACAAATAGCACATACGTGTTCATATTGTAAGAATTCTAAGTTTCTGAACATAAATATAGTCGTTTGTTAATGTTCTTAATGTTGGCTTTAGTTAGCCACTTTCTTTGAAAGCTTTTCTTGTGTTAACTTTTGTGTGTGTGATTTAGGCGAGTTGAATGATTAAGTGGCATTTACAAAGAAGCCAGCAGGGAAGGTGAAACACCTGTGGCGAGCTGCAGTGGGTGGGGCTCCTGGAGCACAGCATGCACTGCAGCTGTAGAGGGTCTTCCACCTGGCAGAGGGGAGCCAAGGGATGAACAGCTGTAGATGGGCCTTGGCCTGGCGAGGGGAGCCAGGGGTTGAACACCCCAGCCTCTCTCCTCTTCTCCTGCCATTGCTCCTGGTGGCTGAACCCAAAAGTAGTGCGAATGTTAAGGGGCCTGGTGACAGGCAGACACACTGCAGTGCTGAAGAAGCTAAGCCTTGAGGACCCTTTCGAGGCCTTGTACCTGTTCGTTTAGTCAGGTTTATTGAGTCTGATTTGCCTGCTGTAAAATTGAACCTTTTTGGTGTACAGCTCTGTGAGTGTTAAGAAATGCATAGAGTTGTGTTCAAAATATAGAACAGATCCATCGGCCTCCAGATTCTCATCAAATTCTTCCCAACTCCCAGCCCCTGGAAACCACTGATCTGTTTTGTTTTGTTTTGTTTTGTCCCTATACTTTTGCCTTTACAGGAATGTCATCTCAGTGAAATCCTGTAGGGGGCAACCTTTGCACTCAGCGTGTTGCATTAACGTATGGTGATTGTTTTGTCAGATATATTTCCTATGTTTGGGGTGAGATGCTGGAAATTAGGACAGTCATTGAGATATATCATCTGCAAAATGCTAATGTAAGTGGTAGGAGTTTCTCATAAAAGATGTACAAGTTGGTCGTAGTGGTATTGGGGGTATGCCGTTCAAATTCGTAAGAAGAGAGTGGTTAGAAGGGTCTTGATAATGAAATTTGTGATACAGAGTTCTGGTGGATATACAGTGTGTAGTGCTCCTAGGAAAATAGTAGAGCATTTATTATGATAATATTCATATATTCTATAAAGAAGATGGCAAATGAGCCTGCGGCATATTCGATGTTGAAGCCTGAGGCTAGACTCTACTTTTGTTAGATCAAAAGGGGCTCGGTTAGTTTCTGCTAGTGTGGAGATATATCATATTATGGCTGGGGGCCATGATGGTAGGAGCAGTCAGAGGAATTCTTGTGATGAGTATGTATAAGTTAAATGAGCTGCTTATCAGTAGAACTGATAGCAGGATAATAGCTAGGGTGACTTCATATGAAATCGTCTGGGCCACAGCTCATAGTGCGCTGATTAGTGCATATCTTGAATTAGATGCTCATCTGATCGTAGAATAAACGGCTAGGCTTGATGTGGCTAGTATAAATAGGAGGCCTACATTAAAATTAGAGGATCTGGTATAGGGAGGGGGTTTCATAAGAGGAGAGTGATGGAGAGGGCTAGGGTTGGAGCAGTAATATAAAGGGTATTGATAGTAGATGGTAAGGGCCGCCAGGGTTCTTTGGTGAAAAGTTTTATTGCATCAGCGAATGGTTGAAGCAGTCTGTAGGGTCCTACAATGTTGAGTCCTTCACGTAGTGGATATAGCCTAAGATTTTTCATTCGATGAGTGTAAGGAACGCTATCGCAATAAGAGTGGAGATGTCAGGAGCAGGAGAAGGTTAATTATAGGCATGTTGTTAAGAAGAGGAATTGAACCTCTGATTATAAAGTGTTTTATGCAGTTGCCAGGCTCTGCCATCTTAACAAACCCTACTCTTGGGTATAGTGTGTGATGATTTATTAGATTGAGATAGCATCATCTGTGGAGTGAGGGCACGTTATGAAGTGGGCCCTATTTCTCTTGTCCTTTCTTACTAGGAGGAATGTTAAATAGGTAGAAACAGACCTGGATTACTCCAGTCTGAACTCAGATCACACAGGACTTTAATCATTGAACAAACGAACCCTTAATAGCGGCTACACCATTAGGATGTCCCGATCCAACATCGAGGTCGTAAACCCTATTGTCGATATGGACTCTAGAATAGGATTGCACTGTTATCCCTAGGATAACTTATTCTGTTGATCAAATTATTGGCTCAGTGTGTAATAACTCACTTAGACTAGTGTGGTCTTAGTTTAGGTTGTTAGGAGATTGAATTATGTTCCGAGGTCACCCCAACCAAAATTTTTAATGCAGAGATAGGAGGCTAGGGCCTGTAGGCTTGCTGGAGTTTTTATTTGCATTGATGAGTTAAAGCTCCGTAAGGTCTTCTCGTCTTACTTGTTTATATCCGCCTCTTCACGGATAGGTCAAGTTCACTGGTTGAAAGTAAGAGACAGCTGAACTCTCCTGTGGCCATTCATACAAGTCCCTATTTAGGGAACAAGTGATGATGCTACCTTTGCATGGTCAGGATACCACGGCCGTTGAACATATGTCACTGGGCAGACCGTGCCTCTGATACTGGTAATGGTAATGCTAGAGGTGATGTTTTTGGTAAACAGGCAGGGTAGGATTTGCCAAGTTCCTTTTACTTTTTGTAATGTTTCCTTAGAGCATGCCTGTGTTGGGTTAACAGTGCAAATAATAGGTGTTTATTATATCATTTATTAGTATTGGGCTGTTAACTGTCAGTGGGTTACTCCGGTCTGATGTAAGCTTATGCAATGGAGAATGCCTTCACGTTACTTATATTAACGTTGTTGCTTCTATTAAGTAATAGTTTAGTCCGATGTGATGTTAAGAGTTCAGTAGACTGGTTAGAATTTAAGATAGTTAGATACTGAGCTTAAATTCTTTCTTAATTAGTGGCTGCTTTTGGGCCAACTGTGGTGGTAATGTTTTTTACTCTCTGTAGGAAGAGTCTAAAGAGCTGTCTCTCTCTAGACTGACAAACTTGCAGGGAGATTAAGTAATTCCATGGGTAAGTTTAAAGTTGAACTGAGACAGCCAGCTATCACCAGGCTCAGCAGGCTTGTCACTGCTACTCATGAATCTTCCCGCTATTTGGCCACATAGGTGAGTGTGCTCTTTCAGGTATTCTTGGGTAGCTCATCTGGTTTCAGGGGACTTGGCCATTGTTCTCTATGTAAAGTTATTTCTAGTTAATGCATTATGCAGAAGGTATAAGGGCTTGTCTTTGCTTTTTATTCCTTGATATAGTTCTTTCTTCTTTCCCTTACGGTACTGTCTATTGCACCAGGATAGAAATTTCACCTATACTTTTGTTTAAGGTAAATGGTTTGATTAAGAGAGTTTGATAATATTTTTCGCGAGGTTTGGGGCTAGAGTTGGCTCAGAGTGGTCAGGTCATGATGAAATCTTCTGGGTGTAAGCCGGATGCTTTGGGTTAAGCTACACTTTGGCTTGTCCAAGCGCACTTTCCAGTATGCTTACCATGTTACAACTTATCTCCTCTATACCTGTGTAGAAAATTAACAGTAATAGTGATTTCTAGAGTAGTATTTGAGGAGGATAATGGGTTTTGTGTGCGTGCTTCATGGCCTTATTCGATCAAACACTGCTCTTGGTTTACTGCTCAATCCTCTTTAAGCCCTTAGATTTCATAAAGGCTGTCGTGAGATTTTCTGGACATAGAAAATGTTGCCTGTTTCTTGCCACCTTATGGGCTACACCTTGACCCAACGTTTTTATGTGTGTACTTGTGCTTACTCTATAACCTTTTTTAGGGTGTGCTGCAGATGGCGGCATATAGGCCGGGGGCAAGCGACGGTGAGGTGTATCGGGGTTTATCGATTATAGAACAGGCTCCTCTGGAGGGATATAAAGCACTGCCAAATCCTTTGAGTTTTAAGCTGTTGCTTGTACTACTCTGGCGAATGGTTTTGTTAATGTAACTATTAGGGTTTAGAGCTAAGCATAGTGGGGTGTCTAATCCCAGTTCTTGTCTTAGCTGCTGTGTGTTCAGGGTATTAAAGCTACTTTTGTAGTATATTTTATTTCAACTGGAGTGTTTTACAACTTAGATGGAGTTTAGCTTTATTGAGGGCAGACCTTAAACACTCTTTACGCCAAGTTCTATTAGCTTGGGTTAACTCTATGGCCACAGTGGCTGGCACGAAATTAACCAACCCTAAATATTAGTATAGCCTAGTTAAACTTCTGTTTATTACTAGATTTAACACTACTGTTTCCTGTGGGGGTATGGTTGAGCCAAGTGTTCTGAGCTGCATTTGTGTGTGCGTGCTTGATACCTGCTCCTTTTGATCCGGGTGATCTAGAGGGCGTTTTCAATGGGGTAGGGATGCTTGCATGTGTAATCTTACAAATAACTAATAAAAAGGCCAGGACCAAACCTATCTGTTTATGGGGTTGTGTGGACCCATCTAGACATTTTCAGTGTCTGGCTTTGAGTGGTTAAGCTACATTAACTGCATAGAATACTTAAGTGGAAAATTAAAGTATGAGAAAGAAAGAAAGAAATAGTTGTTTACAGTTCTGGAAGTTCAGGGTCTTTAAAGGTGAATTGGCAGAGGTTTGGCTAAGAAGGTTATTCATAATTAGAGCATGGTTGACTTAGGGTTATGGTATATTGGGGCAGCACTTTCAGAGGGCTATGCTCAAGGTATTATATTGGTATTAGGGCAGAAGTTTAGTTAATATATTATACATAATGGAGGATTTATTTGGTATGGGGGTCTTAAGATTTTTTAGAAAATTACATCAATCGGGTAGCTGTTGGGGTGTTTGTGGTTAAAATATGTCTGGGTTCTGACTGGGTTGCATTTTAGTCTCTTGTGTTTGGGGTTTGGCAAAGGTGTGTTTACCCAGGCTGATAGTAAAGTCAGATTAGGGGAGGGCTGCAGATTTAATCGGAAATAGTTCTTGAAATTGAGCGTATGTGCAAGCGTGAGCATCTGTTGATTAATTGTTGTATCCTTCAACCAGAATTAACACCTTATGGTTGTTACGTCAGTCTGGAATATTCAGTATAAGTTCAACTACAATGGGTTTGGCAGGAATCAGGCTCTTGCCATGCTGAGTCACAGCACCCCCAAAGTTAAATACCAAATACATGATAGTGCTCCCGTGACTGGCTAATAGGGTGGTCTTTAGTCCATCAGGATGCCTTATTTAAAGGGAACGTGTGGGCCATCTTAATTTTATGGCCATACGTTAATGCAGGGGTCCCCAACCCCCAGGCTGTGGACCAGAACAGGTCCATGGCCTGTTAGGAACTAAGCTGCGCAGCAGGAGGTGAATGGTGGGCCAGTGAGCCTTAACTCCCTGAGCTCCGCCACCTGTCAGATCAGCGGCGGCATTAGATTGTCATAGGAGCTCGAGCCCTGTTGTGAACTGCGCATGTGAGGGATCTAGGTTGTGTCTTCCTTATGAGAATCTAATGCCTGATGATCTGAGTTGGAACAGTTTTATCCTGAAACCACACCCTCACCCCACCCCAGTCTGGAAAAATTGTCTTCCATGAAACCGGTCCCTGGTGCCACAAAGGTTGAAGACTGCTGCTTTAATGTGATCTTATTTATCTCGTATATAAGAAATAATTCTGTGTATAAACATTTTGACATAGTTTAGGGGCCACAGTTGCTCCCATTTCATTCATTAGCAAGGATAGGCTTCTCTAAGGCATTTTTATCATCTGTAAAATGTCTTCCTGACATAACTGATCAAAGATATGACACTACATTAATAGATACATGAAAATTTTGAAAAGTGAAGCATTCATTTCATATGCAACTTATTTTTAGTTTACGCATGGAAAAGTAGCAGCATGAGTAGATTTGAAACTTTTCTAATGTATTTTGCCTGTCTTTACTGATTGGGCAACGGGTCAGAATTAGAAAGTTTCTCATAAAGTATGGCAAGAAATAGAACTAACTGATGCAGGAATCCTTTTGCTCAAATGTTATCTAATGGCTATTGGAATTCATAAAACTGAATCTAAGTTTCATACCATCTAGTGGGAGGATCAGACATGGGAATGAGAGTTGTACGTTCTGAGGGAGGTAAGATGAACTGGTGCCAGGTGGGAAAAAGAATACAGAAGGCAACTGTAAAGTTTGGAAAGGCTTCTGTGAATGCTTTATAGAAAACAAGAATAGAGCTTTTTTTTTTTTTTCCTTTTTTTTTACTGTTGCTCTGTCACCCAGGAATGCAATGGTGCGATCTCAGCTCACTGCAGCTTTCACCTCCTGGGTTCAAGTGATTATCCTGCCTCAGCCTCCCAAGTAGCTGGGATTACAGGTGCCCACCTCCACACCCAGCTAATCTTTGTATTTTTAGTAGAGACGGGGTTTTGCCATGTTGCCGAGGCTGGTCTCGAACTGCTGAGCTCAAAGTGATCCACCTGCCTCAGCCTTCCCCAAGTTCTGGGATTACAGACATGAGCCACCACGCCTTGCCAGTAGAGCTGATTCTTGAAAAGTAAACTACATGCCTATAGCTTTTTAAGCATTGTCTCATCCAGTTGAGGCCTGGGTTCAAATTTAAGCTCTGTCTCTTCCAGGCTTTTGACTTTGCCAAGTTGTTTAATCTTTCTAAATTTGTTCTCTTGTTTAGAAAGACAGGGTTGTTGCCAGGCTGGAATGCGGTGGTGTCATCATGGATCACTGCAGCCTTGATCTCCTGGGATCAAGTGATCCTCCTGCCTCAGTCTCTGAAATAGCTGGGACTACAGGTGTGCACCACCATACCCGGCTTATTTTTCTATTTTTTGTAGAGATGGGGTCTCCTTATGTTGCCCAAACTGGTCTCAGACTCCTGGCCTCAAGCTATCCTTCCTCCCAAGCCAAACTTGGTAAAGTTGAATCTTCGGTACTTTAAGGACATGGTTCAAACTCTGTGGCTGAAGCAGGTAGACTTAGAACAGCTGGTGGAGCATATATACATACTCTTTCCCTCCCCAGTGCTTTGCTGGATTCTCCTTTATGTCTGCACGTGTCCACTGAGATTGGCATGCTCTGCTCCACAATGCTGATGACATGTGGTGGGGCTGGTGTTATGAGATTGAGAGGTCAGTGTTCACTTGGATTCAGGGCAGCCCTCTCCATACACTCATACCTTTCCTTTGCCGTGTTTTCAAGGATTTGTAGAATTACAACCTCATTAAAAGCATGAGGAGCAAGTTTTATCTCTTCTTTCAAATGAAGTCACTTCAGTGGAACAAGTTTTTGCTAGAGGAGAATGGTGGTCAATTTTTGAGCTCTGAAACCAAAAATGAAATAAATAGACTAGACCAAGGTTCAGCAAACTATGGCCCATGAGTCAAACCTGACCCACTGACTATTTTTGTAAATAAAGTTTTATTAGAATGCAGCCACACTCGTTGATTGACATAATATGTCTGGCTGCTTTCAAGCTGCAGTGACAGAGAAAACCTACTTTGAGTTCTTTGTGTGGATATTGTGAAACCATCAGACAGTGACCACTAATTTTTAAATCTATTTGACAGGTTATATAGGACCAGTGACTGTTGTAAATTGGCATAGCTTTATTGCATGTACTTCGAAGTGTTATTAGACAGGGACTGAACAAAAGTAATAGTGATTATAGAGTTGTGTGTGTTATAGAGAGAGAGAAAGACAAATGTAACAAAATGTTTACAATTGGTGAATCTGTGTGAAGTGCTTATGGGTATTTTTTGTATTTTTGCAACTTTTCTGAAGGCTTAAGATTTATCAAAATAAGAAAAAATTTTTAAAGTGGCCCATGGTTGCTGCTGACAGGAGACCTGGGATCAGGGACAAGAGAGTTTGTTTTCACTAGTTTGTGATTTCTGATTTTTAAAATCCTGTTTGTATGTTCTCGCTTAGAAAAGTAAGTCAATAATGAAATAGATTAAAATGAGTTTTTTGTATGACACTGTAGTTTGCAGTACACTGGTCCCCAAACAATTGAAAAAATAAAGATTGCCAAAGTTTGCCTCAATATATTCAACTTAGTATCTAAATGTATATAGAGATTTAATTTTCCTTAAAATGCAAAATTTTCTTCATTTTATTTTAGGATGGTAGCAAAGTGTTTACAGCATCGTGTGATAAAACTGCCAAAATGTGGGACCTCAGCAGTAACCAAGCGATACAGATCGCACAGGTAACAGAAGCCTCTGCAGAAAGGCTGGGCACAGCTGGTACCCAGGACTCTCATGGCTCTTTAAGT